GGCCAATCCGTTCTTATCATCAGTCTAAAAATCACATGCGTGAAAAAAGCGCCCAAACTGGCTTCTTAATGTAAGGCCTGACATCCTGAAACGTTCAAAAGTACTTCTTTCAGCAGCATTATAATTTTCGTCCGCGCGGTGGTCACGGCCCAGCATGAGCTGGTGGGCCGACGCTGCGCGGCCTATGGAAACTGCAACGCCTGGCGAAGAGGTTTTGTTACTAAAATTTGCGAGCGCGCATGCTCCATACTACGTCACATAACTTGCATCGCTAATCGATGTAGGTGTTTAAAGGCAATTATTCCAGAATCGTCATCATTTTTGTTCACCGGTGGATTACGGCTAAGAGTTAGTCGATAGGCTAACGCTCCGCGGACTATGGAGACTACAACGTCTGGTGTCGTGGTTTTCGTTGATGAGATTTGCGAGCGCGCATGTTAAAAAACTAAGTTACATAAATTGTATCACTAATCGATTCTGACTGAATGCTGAATATTTCCAGACAATCATGGCTTGGGCATACTAATTCACATTGCTAACCATTTTATCCACAATCAAATTTTCATCTTCAGATTCGATCGAACATATCGATCTACAATTTGCCTTCCCAATGCCCTTAATGCCTGTAGAACCCGGTTAAACAGTTCTGACAAAGCCCCTTTAATCGGTTTACAAAGCGACCACTATACCATTGCAAATTAAGAGCGTCAGTGATTCATTCCATGCAGTCGTTCAATGCCTGAATCCTGCAGTTTACTGACTTCAAAATACAAACGCATAAATCTCACGTAGCTTCTAGCTTATTTTCTGAACACAAGGTAAAAACAACGATAAAACGAAGAAAGCCGTGTCCCTTGTTAACAAGTAAGTTATATCCGTTTTTAGGGGGGGGGGGGGCGGTGCACCATAAGAGGGGCTTTTGTCAAACCTGTGCTCCCCCTTGGCAAGGCTTTGACTACGCCCCTGCCGAAACCCGAAAGCAGATCAAGTCGACTACACTGAATGATGATCAGTTCAATGTCTGTTGGACCAATTCATACCTAAGTCGGGCAGCCTCCTGGAACCTTTTTTCTGCGGTAGTGAGGTGTAAGGGAAGATCATTCGGAAAGAGATACTGCTGCAGGTGTCCAGCACATGTTTTACATATCAATTAGCGGTAACGCTGATCCAGGAATATGCAGCAAAGCAGCCATACGATCAATTCTTAGTCAATCACGCGAGAGACAGCCGGGCCAGGGCAGCGTCCGCCGACGGCGGACAGAAGCAGGTCCCAGATAAGGAATATATGACAGAGTGTTCATTCTCTGGCTTGGTTTTTAAAGGAGAATCTCCAGTTTTATGCCTTTTTCACATTGTTTTTGGTAGTTTCAGGCTTCCGAATCTGTTTCTGCCTGAAGTGCTGTCACAAGTCTTACCTCTTAAAAAGCAGCGAGCGAAATAAAGGCGCGTGAAAAATCTATCGCATTGTGAGCCATTAATTTACTTTCAAAATTCTCACCAGCCTATGTCCAGGCGGTATTTTGGCATCTACGCTGTGGGGGTAAATGCCTCTTCAATGACCCAAAATGCCTACCCGCTCACAGAATTTCGCCTTCCCAGAAAAGACAATGTTAAAATGAACAAATGATCTTGTAAAGCTGGATAGCCTTCTTTGCCGAATGGCGTAGGTGAGCAGGAGCGGATCCAAAGGGGATGGGGGGGGGGGGGCCCGGGGCCATCCCCATTTCTTGGGTCCCGAAGGGGCCCATTGGCTACGAGGGGGCCCATAGCCGGCCGAACAGGTGCAGTTTTTCAAACACAAAACGCAACAAAACTGGATATCTCTGGATTCCAAGACGACCAAGAACAGTTGTAAACGAAAGTAAAGGGCCTATGAGAAGTTAGAAAATCATTCAGCGATTGGAAAAGTTGTGAACTGGAATTTTGAGCCTCATAACAATGTCTAGGGACCCTATGCTGCTTCTGAGAGACCTATATGCCCACTTGCAGGATCATTTCGATAATTGAGGAGCATTCCATGTTGCCCTTTATTTCTTTGCATTTGCTCGGGGGGCTCTGTGCTGTTGTTGGGGGCCTTCCTGCTAGTGTGCCGGGGTGCTCTTGTCAATCACGATACCTTCCACGTGTCCTTTCCATTCGCCAGGAAGGATCTGTGGGCTATAGCCTGGGTCTCATATTTTAACCTGCCGGGGTATTCTCGGCTGCTCAGGGGCCCTTTACGTGGGTCTCAGTTAACTTACCGACACACTTGCGATATGTTCATGGGCCCTCCTCATTGGTCTAGGGCGCTTCCAATTCTGTCTCTTGCTTACGGCTCTGCACTCTTGTCGGGGGCCCACCTGATGGCCTGGTTGGGCACACCAGTCGTTCGGAGACCCTTCACACTTGGCCTTGGGTGTTCCTTTTCTTATTGGGGCCATACACTTTTGGAGGGGGCCTATCTGATAACCTGATGGGGCACATTCAGTCGTTCGGAGGCCCTCTACATTGAGCCTTGGGCATGCGCTATTTGAACGGGGCCCTACGCACTTGTCGGCCCCCCCCCCCCCCCCTCTGCTCGCCTCTGCGGCCACATTGGATTGCTCTGGGGGCCCTGCGCATTGGTTCTTGGTGTTTGAATTGAGAGCCCTCTGCTCCCATCGGGGACATCTGGTAATCTGTTTGGGTACACTCCATCTTTCAGAGGCCCTCCGCATGAGGTTTTGGGTCTTTCTTCTTTGATGGAGGACATTACACTCCTGTCGAGGCCCCTTCTGATAAGATGCTCGGGCCCATATGATCGTGCGGGACCTCTACATATGGTGTTGGGTATTTCCTTTTTGAACCGAGGGCCCCTTGCTTTTTCGGAAATCCTATCTGTTAACCTGCTCTGGCGTACCCGATTATTCGGGGCCCTCTACATCGTGTCGTGGATATTTCATATTTGAACGCAAGGCCCTGCGATCTTGCCGGGGCCCCATCTATTAGCCTCCTTGGGCACATTCCGATATCCGGGGACCCTCCACATTGTGTGCGTTGGGCACTTCGTATCTGAAAGCAGGGCCCCGCGTACTTGTCGAGGACCCCATCTGTTCGATGCTTCCGCCACACTGCATTGTCCAGGGACCCTGCACATTGGGTCTTGGTATGTGAATTTAGGGCCCTACACTCCTGTCCGGCCAACCCGATAATCTGCTCGGGTGTACTCCATCTTTCGGGGGCCATCCGCACTAGATTTTGGGCACTTCTTATTTGAAAAGAGCTCTTCTACGTTCTTCTCGGGCCCCTTCTGATAAGTTGTTCGGACACATTCTATCATTCTGGGGCCGTTCACATAAGGCCTTCGGTTCTTTCCATTGGAATGGAGGGCCCTACGCTCTTGTTGGGAGCCCTATTTGTTAAGCTACTGTGGCACACTCGATCATTTGGGGGTGTTGTTTCAGGGAGTCTTGTGTCTTGCAGGGTGTCTTGACCTGGACGTGAACTCACTTAGGTCAAAGTGTGAGCTTCCTAGGTCATGACCTTTGGATCAAATAAGGTCAAAAAGTTCACATTCTAGGCTGGTCACCAAAGTGCCCCCAGAACCCAGGAAACTGTTTTTAGCAAAAGGTCAAAGTCCCATTTGACGTCAGTGACCTTGTTTAACCTTTTGAAAGTCATGGTGACCAAAATCATACAAGACTGCTCTGGGTTTTGCATTTGAATCAGCGACAAATGTTACGCTGGGCAGTATGTTGATAAAACAAATGTCGACCCGGGACATCTTAGGTCCATGACAATTTCTGACATCTAAGAAGTCAATGCAAGATGTATAATGCGGTTCCTGCTGTCTATAAATTCGAAATGAGCACCACAAACTGTCCCATACAGTAAACCCTACAGTAATAAATCGGGTTGGTTTTGACCTTGGTCTGGCCTTCATACCTGACCTTAGGTCAACGTAATTTGCTTATTCAATATTTGTAGTGCCTAAGAAAGCATCTCAGAAATGTATGCCTTCGTCAAACACTCTGTTATTGTATCAGATTGGACGACTCCCTAGAAATTGTCTTCGCTGAAACCATGGCCTGACTTTGACCTGCCATAGGTCAGCAACCTTACAATGCGCATGTAATTTTTTATGTCAAACGATCCACTGTTCAATTTTCTACAGCTATGCAAAAGTTAGCGCGGCTACGCCGCGCCGTTCGGAAACCATTCTGGAAAAAACCTTCGGGGTGTCAATTTGCCCCACCCGAGCGCGTGTTAAACGTTCACCTAGGACTTCGCGCCAAACAAATCTCCCTGGCGACGCTCTACTTCAGTGGAGCTAAACTCAGCTCAGTGGAGCAGTGGAGCGGCTACTTCCACCCTCCGTAGGTGACGCCGGCCAAGGAGAGGCACGCTAAAGGCACGCAAACAGGTCCCTTTATAAAAAGGTGATGCAATCTACGAGGTCTCTATCTATGATTTCTGTGGTTGCGCAAATAAGCTTTAAAAGGATATGATGTGCTTATATATATATATATATATATATATATATATATATATATATATATATATATATATATGATGAAGCGATGAATAAAGATGACTAAAGATGATGATGACTAAAGGTGACTAAATCATTCCGGCGAAGCCCTCGATGGCCGAAGAAGCGCTTAGATAACGAAAAGGACCCAGTGCAGTCAGCCCAGGTGAGGACAGGCTACCCCAGTCAGCTGTCAATAAAAGCCTTTATACCGCTAATCCCAAAATGCCACGCAACAGCTGCCACAAACAAGTTAACTGCACTCAAAGCTTATCTGTTAAAAAATTCTCCTATGTTAGAGAACTTATGTTTGTTGAATATAATCGAAGCCCAGCGTAATGCTTTCAAAAATCTATGCCAAAAAAGGTGGAAAGCAATCCGCGGCAGAATAACATTGCATATGTCATAGGTAGGGTGTCCGTGTTCTCTTATTGCTCGGAAACTAGCCTATTCAAAGCCGTCTTTCATTCATCCCAGAACACATTGCAACAATTTATCAGTATATTTTGCATGATCATATGCATTGGTACAAATATTGCAGGGCATGGTTCCATGTCAGGTACACAAAGCCCGAAGTCGTTCTTTTGTAAAACGGTGCTACCAATAGCACCTGGTACCTGCCAGGTACCAACGATAAATGTAGACACACAGAACGTAATCAGCGGGACATATTAAAGCACACAGCTTGACAATATATCGCAGCTATGAAAGCAATAGCCCATGACCACCTAAGGCATGACAATGAACACATTTCAATGCGTCAACAATTGACTTAATATCAATGCTTAGCTATCACACAGCTCAAAATTGCGTGCAAAGTACGAAATCAGTCGTCACATACCAATCACTTGATACATCTAAATGTACATATGGCACACGCACACACTTCTAAAGCTGGCATCACATACACAACCGATGACACAGAATGCTATCACATACAAAAGAAGGCACAGCAAACCATGACAATGTACTTGCGACCCTGAGTGCGTAGGATAACCGACGCCAATGCAGCACGAGCAATCAAACAAAAAGACCACTGACTGGGTGCATGCCAAACACCTACACGGGCATGCACGCATATGTACAGCCATACAGAGTACCTGAGGCAGCTGAGGTATTCATTAACACCAGTGAGCTATTCTTCACAGCCCAAACATAGCCATAAGTGGTTCAACGGATCACCGTCCGCGGTCACGGGTCAACCATCGGTGTCCTCATCATCTGAGTCCTCGGGGAGCATCGCTGGCCAAACGCCCATCCACACTGTGGGCGGTGAGGGTCTCCGATCGTCCTCTTCATCTCCAACGTCGTCCTCCCATTCGCTGTCGCTGCCATCTGTCGAAGACTCGACGAAGTTCGCTTTCGTCTCATGCTCACACAGCGGCTCCGGGAAGCGAATAGCCAGCGGAGCGATCGGCGCATACCGTTCGCCGTCGAACCGGGTGAAGAAGCGACCCACTTCCTGATGGCTGATTGGCTGGGGATCCGGGGACAGCTGCAGCTCCTCTGCAAAGACCCAAATACCTCTGTTAGACGCAGACGCAAGTGGCGCTCTACGCCAGAATGGGAGCAAGACATCTCATCAATCTGCTGTCGTTTGGGGATCCCTTAAGAATATTTCTGAGTAGGCAGTTCTGGGCGTGAATTGCACTATGTAGTGCACTTTCCAGTATGTCTGTGTAATAAAGATGCATTTGAAATTGTGACATTACGATGACCAAGAATTACAAAAGATGCTGGAAAACCTACATCAGGGTATTACACACGTCAAACTCCGTATAGGAGCTTCGCAATAAACATAAAGTATGCCCAATGCAACCAAACAAAATATTATGGGCGTGAATTGCACTTTATAGTGCATTTCCCAGTATGGATGAGTAATGACATCTGTGACATCTCATCAATCTGCTGTGGTTTGGGGACGACCTGGGAATATTTCTGAGTAGCAGTCATGGGCGTGAATTGAACTTAATAGTGCATTTCCCAGTATGGTTGTGTAATGAAGATGCCTTTCAAATCATAACCTTATGACGACTAAACATTACAGAAGATGCTGGAAAACCTACACCAGGGTAACCTACATCAGGGTGCATCAGGGTACATCAGGGTACACATGCCAGACTGAATATAGGAGTTTCGTGAAAACATAAAGCATGTCCAATGCAACCAAACAAAATATTTATGGCACCCTGTCCATATTTCAAATACCAGGAGGGGGAGGGTCCATGTAAAAACTCCAATAGTGAAGGTAAAAACTCCAATAGAGTGAAGAGCACTTTGAAGAGCCTGCTTACCCTCAGCCATGTATCCGAACCGGTCACCCTCCAGCAGCAAGCTGTAGAAGGGCTGCTTGTGTCCGCGCTGAAGCCCGGAGCACACGCGACTATTTGCCGTCCAGTCCTGAAAACAACACCACCGAGTCAGCACAATAACCCACACCGCACGGCCGTCGTCAGAGATGAGGACGGGGGGGGGGAGGGGGGGGGGGCACTGAGACTTCGCAGGAATACCATTTAAGAGCTCACATGCGTCTAGCCACAACTGTAACAAGTTGATACATTTACGTGCCTATCACCGATGCATCGATTGGTTCTTCGAATCAAGCAGGGAATATGACCACTGCAACATACTTGTATGAAACCACAATAGATGTTTGCCATACAGCGAGGGTACACATTCAAAACGATGTATAGACAGACAGGACATTGCAAAATTACACCTGACCTCAGTACATACACAAAATACCAAAATATTACACACATCGCATATCCTCCATTACAGAAAACGACATCGATAGTTGTGGGGTTCGTATAGCACAAGTCACACAATGAAACAATGAGTATGCATGCGGTGATTGGCTTGCCCTGAGAGAAGTAACAACAGTACAAAACAGTTCCTTTGAGTCCTCAGAAAACAACAGCTCCCTAAACCAATTCTCAACACAATAGGACAAATGACCTCAGACAGGGTCTGCCCTGTACGACAGTTCCACTGGTATCGCTCCTACCTGTGAGATCTCGTAGTATGGTGAGCAGCCGTACACCACAGCCAGGCACCCGTCGCCGTACGTGACGACGTCACCCACACCAAACTGCCTCCGGTAGTCGCCCACTGCTCGGCCAGCCGCGCGGAGGTCCGCCTGAAACACGGATAAAGACAATGAGGGTATCGCACACAACACAAGGAGATAATGGGCCATCAGGATTTAAAATGGGCATTGGGACGCGGGAAATAACTGAGAAGACAATGAGCTGAGAAGACGAAAACGAGCATCAGTAAGCCCAGAAACTAGTAACATGAGAAAATAACACATTTATAAATGCTCGAAACAAGCGCCATATAGGTTAATTATGAGGTGAGGTCAACTTACTACAAACTAAATGAGAACGTTACTAACTGAGAAGTTAATGATACATTCCATAGATCAGACAACAGCTTGACAATATAGTGGTGCACGAGTGGTCACAAAGGACCATAGCAGGAACGAACCCCGGGTCACAGGTCTGCAGGAAATTGCACAAGAAATTACAGAAAGTGAATGGAAGAAAACAACCGTACAGAAATAAATTTCTACGAAATGATTCAACCTGCATCACAACTTTACAATGCTTATGATGCTTATGCATGGGGTTAAACCTGTTTCACATAGCTATTTAACCCTACCAAATAGAGATACAGCCAACTTATAAGTGTGCAGGCATATCATTATACATAACAACACACCATGACAATCAGCCACGTAACTGACGCGCGCGCAAACACGTTTCCACCTCCCACACATCAGCACATGCATATGAACAGGTCAGCAAAGAATTAAGAGAAGCTACGCGATTAACTCCCTCTATTGTCGATTTGATCAAATCCAATTCATTCTTACCAGTTCCTGCACTTCAGCCTCCTGTTCGTCTAGGGAGCGCACCAGCCGCTTGTACATCCTCTTGAAGTGTTTCATGAGCGCTTCCAGACCACGCCTCTCGTTCTCAGCCACGAGCGAGCCGTTAGTCTCGACGAATTGCTGCAGAGAGGAAAAACAGTGAAAATAAGGTAGCACTAATTATTCCTCATTATATCGCCATTTCTTTTGCTTGCACCATCACGGGCGCAGCGCACAGCCCTCGATTACAGGCCATTTACGAGCTGGAGATTTCTGGGAACCGAAAATGGGACCAGAACGTCACCTAGCATATAAAAAGTCACATGCGTATCTTACACACCCATCGTGCACATTTTCATCGCGCACATAATAGTGACCCAGAAGCATCTTTCCAACAATTGTTGAAAACACATGCCCAGCTCTAGCGTCACCCAAGACTACTGACCTGCAACAGGCGGCGCGTGTACATGGGCCGGGCACGAGCCATCGTCGACATCAGGTCAACGATTGCGGCCGTGTTCGGACGGCAGTCGCTGCGGGCCCAGCACGCCAGCGTCTCCAACGAGATCAGGTCGAAGCCGGTCCCTGGCCGGCGGGCGTCCGGATGGACTGCGCCATTGATGAGGCGACGCAGCAGCTGCCAAAACACAATACACTGCGTTGGACAAGGATTGGTAACACACTCACACCGCCGGACACTGGAGAGCGTACAGACACAAGGGCTCGTTGCAAGCCGTCGCAAGGCTGCTGGTTCTCATAGATTCATATAGGAGCACAAAATCCTCAACCTGGGACTCCCGTGCTCCCAATCTAAGAATGAGTCGGTCTCTGTTCAATCTGGTTTCTTTGCACAAATGAGTCATGCACGCACTTTTTAAACAAAATGGAATACTTCTCAAATATCAATAAGCTCCATACGTCACAGCGCATGTTGTGCAAGAATTTGACAACATCCCATGCATTACGCACCCCTGCCCGCGGAAAGGGTTCGAGCATCTGGAGGTCCACTTCCGGGTGATCAGCATTCAGCTCCTCCGTCACCTGCTCCCAGGACAGCCGCATGCCGCGGCGGACAACGTCGATGAACAGGTACTCTTCACCGTCCCTGCCAGAGGAGACGCACGTCAGGCCACCACACACACTGTGTGAATTCCTACAGGTGACACGTGAATAGGAATATGTCACTGTACAGCACAGATATTCGCAGTCACAAACAAACACGCATACAAGCACAGTGACAAACAAACAAGGCAAGACAAGCACAGTCAGTGCATGATTATGTTGAATTTACACAAAACGACAACGCATTGTGAATAAATGCGATTCAGTTTATGCGAAAAGAATGTTGTGTTTAAAGCATGCTACTGTGATTATGAATGGATGAAAATCAAGATATCAAACAAGACAAGATGATACATATTCTCAGCAACGGAGAAAATGTGATAAGGCTGATCACGCCGGTGATAATTCGGGTATTCTTGTCAGAAAACAGTTTGGAAAGTAATCAAAGCTCTAATGAAGGAAAGGAAGGTCATAGCTAAATATGACATGTAACACAGTGCCATCACTTTTAATTGCTCACTTCACTTGAGTGCAGCACTGATCATGAATGACAAACACATTCCACTCCAACAACATATGCAACGTTTGTACGTGATGACGAGTTGTGTACACGTAACAGGTGTTTTCGTCTATCATGGTAGCAAACTTCAAGGTTTGGTATGATTATTACGTTGCAAAGGATGACTTATAATCGTCGACATCTATTTAACTTGCAATTTATTTTAGCACAAAGCAAGTTTCTCATAAGCCTCCCACACGGAAGGAATCCAATCGCCCATGAGGCTTACATTTTCAACCAATTAGCGACATTCCTTATTAACAAATATCACAATTTACTGCAGCACCCAAAACACCCGGCTTGCATATACTGTCTACACATTATGCACACCTGCTTACATTGAAAACCTGCCTAGACATTCAGGAATACATGCCAGAGCTTTGTACCAAGATGTAAGGAAGAACGCTAGAAGTTCGCCAAACATGTGTGATCACGGCAGTTACAAAACATTAGTTAACTGCCAACATGAAAATTAGGCGAATAATAAGATGAACATACTCCGTATGCACTGTGATCAAATCATCCACAGCCAAATTATATAGTTGTCAAATTCGTTGGGAATCACGATATTCTTAAGCAACATAAACATGATGTGCATAACATCACTGATTCACATCATGTGATTAGCTCAAGGAAACATAGTTAAGTGCACAACTAATCACAGAAGTTCAAAATCTATGGCAATGAAATCAAAACCTATGGCAAAAAAAATCAAAAAAATAGGCTATTAGATACCAATTGATAAAGCAGGAGCTCCCAAAAACCCATGACCTGAACAACCAGTCTGTCCCAATGCCGTTGATAGTGCTAGAGGAACAGACTCATTTCCCACGCCCCCTTCGGCAATGCTTACGCTTTGTGCCAGCAGATCATCGAGCTGTGCGGTAACTGCACGTTGTGGAGATTAACGCCCAGCATGCCGGCTACAGAGGAGTACACTGTCCCCATTACAGTCTGCGTCCCGGATCCCGCAGAGTGGAGGTGGCGACGAAGGTACATAACCTGAAAAGGAATGGCAAGCCATTGAATGCGTTGCGCTCCATGCAACCCAATCACCTACACATATTCAGAACGAAGAGCCCATCAGCCCATTCATTCATAAACGCAGCAATAGGTTCCAAATACAACTGTTTACTGAGATGTACCAGTGCATAGCGAGAAAATGTAAACAACAATAAATTAAACCACACTGACCGAGCCAAAACAACACATGTTGGTGACAACCGCATGAGCAAGCGCTTAATCATGGTTATCATAGTCATCATCACCGTCACCGTTCGAGATTGTGCACACATCACAATAGCGTGTTCGGTGTTGCGCCATCTGAGAGGAGCACAGTAATACGCCTCAGGGCAAACGGACGGGAACGTATGGCTGACAGCATTGTTTTGCAAGTCACAGCCCACCATTGATAACAACACGAAAAAACAAAACAGATCAGACATAGAAGTCTGCACATGTCCTGTGCGTGACTTCACCCATTCAAACGTGCAAGGAACGAGGATTAATCTTCATTGCAATCCACTTACCAGCGTGCTCAGTTCGGAAGCCGATCCGTCCTCCGGTCCGTCCCTCCTTCATCAGGGCCAGCTGGTCATACAGCACGACGTTCATCGCGTTCAGAAGCTTCAGCGTCTGGTCATCCGTCCACATCGTGGGTCCGAACGGGTTCTTCTTGCACGTAGTCCAGGCGGCGGCCGGGTGCTCGGGGAGCCGTCCACGCAGCTCATCCAACACCAAGCCGGCGATCTTGCTGTAGCAACTGCAGAGACCACGCCAGGTCAAGACTCGCACGTGCACATCCGAGTTCATCTTTGTTCCGGGGGAGGGGGGGGGGGGGGGGCAAGAGAAAGGGATACGAACGTTAAAAAGCTAAGACGTAAGCAATGGGAGAGATGAGTGCCTTGTGTGCCATCGCCCTGGCGGCGATATATAATATACGCGATCACGGCGATCACGCTGTTTGAACAGCACGGACAAATACCACATTCAGCACCAAAAAACACAACAAGAAATTCGACCAAATCGCTTGTTAGAATCGCATGTCAAATTCTGGTGACGCCTTTCTAGTAAAGCACAACACATCGTGGTATTTGGCTGGAGCAAGTGATAAAGGGAAAGGTGGATTCGATAACCGTAGATAACATCGGCCTGCAATCGAGTGTCATCCGCACGAATAAACACAGAAAAGGGACTTGACATATGCAAACTTGCACCCATTAGCATGACCTTCATACACATCAGAAATACAACCGAGCTGGCAGAATGTTTGCGCGCAAGGCCTATGATTCCATATGGAAATCGAACGATTCGAAAAGAGATAAAAGACTCACGTATGGAGATTGGACTCTCGGTTGTCGGTTTGCTCCGGAACCATCCAGAGGCTCATCAGATAGAAGGCTTCGGGCACGTTCAGATGCTGCACTGGCCGCTGCATGTACTCCCGGAACATGGGCAGCAGCACGACGTCTCGCTGGATCTCGCGGAACAGCATCCGCGCGTAGTAGCGCACAGACAGGTCATCATCCCTGCCCAAAAGCGGATAGTGTTACACACGTGCCTCAGACAGCATTTTCTCGTTCCGAAAGCAAAGTGCGACGTCCGGGGCTTAGTTACAGGTCAATGAGGTTAACTGCTGGAGCGAATACGCTGGTTTGGTCTTTACATTAGCTACGTGATAACAGAACATACGATAAGTGCATGATGGTGATGGTGGATAAACCAGCCTGGTACGTGCGATATAGGACAAGCTGGCACGGTGCGATGATCGACGTTAAGTCACGAGCAAGGCATGGCAGTGGCCCTTGGGAGTAAGAAATTGAGCCATTCCTTGGTGGCGTCTCACAGACATATCCGAGATACAACCTGTCATTTGAAAACTGAGATGAAAAGGCGAGACTGTAGTCCAGACAGCACGGTCCCTCACAAATTACCGCCGGCGTTCCATACGACTCAATTATCGTTTGGAACGACAAGAAGTTTCAGAAGCTTCGCAAATAACCATCATGGTGTGCAAAGAAATCTACACTTCAGTAACTGGGTGATCTTCACCATATCCTTTAAAATTGTGAAAGTGGCACGTGACGGGTGAAGTGAAGTAGATACTACATGGCAGTGCTTCACATATGTGCCTTGCAATTTATGCTTGGCCAATTTTATAAATTTAAGCAAACTGCCGAGACCACAGCACACCGATTATGTAATCCAACTTACGGACGGTGTTGGCGCGAGTAGATGACCTCCAGAAGGAGCATCCCGATTGAACAGGGTACCATGGACGGGCACCAGCTTGCGGAACTCCTCCATGGCGGGGTCCGGCAGGCAGTCGACTGTGTAGCATCTGTCAGCCATCTTGGCTAGGGGCTGTACGCAGGTGATGGCCAGCCGAGGCGCGGAACCTCGCAGTGCGCCGCCAGCTGCATCCGCACCGCTCAAACACGCGCAGCAAGGCAGGTCGGCACGAGGGCTGCACCAAGCGCGGGTACCTGCGAAAAAAGACAACGGCGTCGCCATTGAGGCAAAAGGGGGTTCGGGAGGAGGTCTACTAGATGAAAGACGTGGCTTAACATCGCATTTGTCTCAGAAAATCTCGGCCAAGGCACTGTGCGCAGTGAGGGTGATTAAATCAATACCATCTTCACAAGGAATATGCAAAGAGCAGTGAAGTATACAGTAAATAATGTGTTGCAAATTGCCAACCTCCCATACATCGCCATGGCCAACTCTGAAAAGCAAGTGAAAACAGGAATCTGACAAGGTGGGGGCATTGACCGAACATTAAAATCCTGAAATAGACTTGTGGTAGTATGCATGAATGCAACAGTTTGTAATACTGATGAAGAAAGCAATGATAATGTTACTTCTATCAACATTATGCTGCATGAACCTGAGATAGTACTGGCCTTAGTCATCTAGATAACCTGACAGAGTGCCCCACAGGATAGTGATAGATCAAGTGCTTTGAGCATCCCACTAGCAGGCTTGAATATGCTGACAAGCATTTCAGAGATGGAAATAGTGACTTGGAGGGAAACTCTGTGGATCAATACAATGAAGATTGAATAAGAAGTGGTAGATGTCTTTGAAAACATTACAGCGCATGTAGACCCTCTCTGGAAATGGCGAGAAATGAGGAGCATGATTTCGAGCACCTTGCCATCAAGTATGACACCATATGACTTTCAATATGCCATAATACCACCAATGAGTTTGCAAACAGCTGACTCATTTCAGCCCCAGTCTCCATGCACCTGCAACATTGGTTGACAGAAATTGTTAATGCAAAACTGGATAAACAGTCCTAGGGGCATAATTGGTGATATGAAAAATTAGAAGAAAAGTCAACACTAAAGACTTAAGAGCAGCAAATACACTTATGGGCTACACTGTTGTACCTGAACCTAGACTATGGAAAAGACAGTGAACAAGCCTTTTAAAACAATAAAACGAAGGGAAAATGCTATCCACTTGTTGAGTTGGAGTTGCACTTATTGCATCCATCAACATTCTCTACCCATTCACTGTCTCATCCATGTGACTGCTATTCATTGCTGATAGTTCAGGTTTTGCTTAAGGAAACAGTTTAGCATGATGCATGGAAAAAACAATGTCAAAAAATACTTTGCATCTTGTTGGAATGACTACACCATGAGGCAATGAAAAATGAATGAAAACTGGCCCAAATGAGGTTGATGAGGAAGACCATAAGTGATGGCTATGACTGGGGGTGTCACTTTCTCAGTGATTTGGTAATTTGTGCCTTACAACTAACTGATAAGCTGCACTGCATTTCCAGGCACTGCTTTTAAACACATGCACTGTACCTAGTGCACACAGCATGCAACACACCCAAACTTAGTGTTGTATGTGAATTGCACATTTGGTAAATGGAAAGCATGTTTCTTTATGATGGTGACATTTGCCTGACAAAAAAATCATCCAGGGCAAATACAAGCTTGATATACCTTGGAAGAATTATCAATACAACATGTGTGACACTTCACCTCCTTTTGATTTGCATATGGTCTGACCTTCAATGTTTCTCTAACCTCACAAAACTACACAATCTGACAAATGTATACACAAATAAGTACAAAAAATCAAAAAGTCATTTTACAGACATTTAAACATACTATGCAGTGTCAGTTCAGTTTGCATAAAAAGGATGTACTGCTCACAACTGCTGGTACAGATACTGATGTAGCTGACATCCCTTCAAGCCACAAATATGGATGCATATGCATATACACATACATCAAACTGATGTACTTTGTGTGATTGTTTTCAGTTGTGTTCCATCTGGCAATAATTATAACTGCTATTGACTTGTGAGCTGCAGGAGTACCCCAAATCTTCAGTGTTGGAAAGATAACATTCTCAGCAAAATGACACCTTAACAAGACCACTCACCTGGACTTAAATCCGAATTTCCATACTTTTTCTGAAGTATGGACATCGTGAAGCCTCCTGCATACTTGTGATACAGATACAAGGTCTTCTATACTCAGGAAACACAAGACATGTTGCAAAATTTCAGTTGGCAGAGAAAGCAGAGATTTCTCAACATCCTTGTCTTCGCTGACCAGATGCATCACTTTCTCCTCGTTCGAGAACTCCATCGCATCCATCAGCAGCATTCAACAATCACGTGCACTGTTTCAGATATCGAAAGTAGTCACCAAACTCAGCAGATTCAGCTTTGCGCGGATGAACGTGTTGAATACAAACACGCGTCGGAGCGCCGGAATGGAAACGGAAGTCAAATGCGGCGGTTGGCGGTTAGAGACCTGCGGCACGTTGCGGACGAGGCCGTTCAAACCTTCCAATGAAAAGCGGTGATGTTAAACTGATGCGGCGTGGCTGAACCGGACGCAAATATTCATGCGCGCTGGAACGGCACTCAGAGTCTCAATTCTATTTTAGTTGGAGCGGGGAAAGGAACTGTAGCCAAGGGAGTTACTTCATAGACTTTTACGTGGCCTAAGCCCAACAATGCTGATTTCAGCCCGCCCCCCGCTCAAAATCTCTCCTATTCATTGTCATGCTGGATTACTGGGCAGGAAAGGAATACTGGGCAAAAAAAAGCAATCGTATAACTCTGAGTATAGGTAGCAGGCTTCTTAAACACACCACTATTAGGACCATGTATATTTAGGGGTGGGACACTGTCGTTTTCTTGTGGAACCAAAATCATGAACTAGACCCATTCTATTCGCCAGATCTATTCCTCCCCAGGTTTTCACCCCCTTTTTCGCTGGTTATGGTTATGGTCCTTTGCTTTCGTGCGTTGGTTTCGCTCGCGCAGCTTCCCTTGCATTTATTTCACGCAACAAAGAAATTGGTGCCAGTGGACTTTTAAACGCGTGGGCTTTTCTACGAATATATTAATGTTGGCGGGCTAAAAACCACGCCATGCCGTTTACAGACTATTTGGCTGAGTGCAACACAATACGCACATAACTTTAATTCTGAGAGGTGCTACTTGGGGTGTCCTGGACATATGTGCAGAATTTCAGCGCTGTAACAATTTGTATGATATCAAACAGACGCCCGCATCTAAGCGAGATTTATTCACAGACATTTCACAGCTCCTGGAAATGTGATGCTCTCCATGTTAGACTGGTATTACAGATTCAATTTCGCGTGTCACATTACATTCAATTCACCGATATGAACGAGACTTGGCTGCCAGATTCGGCAAGTTACACCATTTACAAATATATCAGCCACAAAGTGCGACATTAAATATACAACCGCGCCGTTGAATCATCAATGTTCGTCATCGTTGAAAGCTTTTTCTTGGTAAACGTTCGCTAACCACGCAGATTTTGGCCAAATTTGGTTTGTTGATAGTGCACGCGCGTTGATAGAACAAAGCATCTCAAATAAAAAATCTCACTTCCACCTATCACATTCGAAATCACGCCCATACACAACCGTAAAAGTTCAAGGTCATAGCAATTGGGCACCCCAAAAGCTTTCAGATTGGACAGCAACATACACCTCATGAAATTCCACCTAACCACAACATATAAGATCGTGGCGTTTAAACGTTTGTTTTCTAGAAGCCTTGAAAACTTGGAAATGACATCCCTGCACGCGTTAACATACAGACATTGCATGCCAGCTATAAGACAGCGAGACTCATTCGATCAGCTTGAAATTTAGCACAAAAAAGCACATCATGTACGTGTACAGTTTTCGTTGAGTGGCAATTTGTGACATTTTAATTTACGCATTCTAGAGGCTATCAAGCATGGGGATGTATGACATATGCATGAAAACGTCACCAGCAGCGTCGCAACATGAAACCAAGGCTAAGGAATGCTGCATCCGACAGGATGCATCTGTTCATTGTCTGTCACATGACATGTCATATTACATTTAATCATGCGAAATGTGACATGCAAATTAAATACGTCACATTTGAAGATCGTTTTTCCACCTTCGCAGACTCCTCTGATTGTCGCAAAATTTGGCACAAACATTCACCTCGCATGGCTCCATTCGGCCACCAAATATTATACCGTGACATTCAAATGTTGGTGTTCCAGCAGCATCCAAAACCTTGGAAATAACAACCTCGCACGTGTAACATGCATGCATTGCATGTTAGCGAAAAATACAAACTCCATTCATCAGGACGAAAGTTGGCACAAAGACGTATCATATACTTGCACAATTTTTCGTTTATTGGCAATTTGTGACGCTCAGATCTACGCATTTTGGAGGCTCTCAAACAGAAAGATACGTGACAGATACATAAAACGGCACAAAGGCGTTGTAATATGCCGCAAAGCCCAAGGAAGTCAGCAAAATACATCCTGCCGGATGCATTTCGCGTTGTCTCCCACATGGACATGTCAAATGACAATATGTCATTTTGAGTCTGGGGAGATGCTACTTGGGGTGCCCTGGACATATGTGCAGTGTTTCAGCGTTGTGACAATTTGTATGATATCAGACGGACGGATGTATTTCACCGAGGTTTCTTCACAGACATCTCACAGCTACTGAAAATGTGACACTGATAGTGTGAAATCTATATTACAGATGCGCGTTCGCGTGTCACATTCAATCTACTCACCGAATAAAATGATCCTTGGCTTCCAGATAGGAGAAGTAACACATTTACGACAATATGAGTCACAAAGGGCGACATTGAAAAACACCCACGTTATTAAATGATGAAAGTTTAACGTCGTTCAAGACTTTTTCTTAGTGAGCACTCGTTGACTGTACAGTTTGTCAAAATTTGGTTTGTTGATAGAACAAAGCATGTCAAATAAAAATCACACTCTCCATCTGTAACATTCGAAATGCCCGTTCAGAACCGTAGAAGTCTATGCTAAATACGCCCGTACAGAAACGTGAAATCGCCGTACAAAACCGTCTCGGGAACTAAGAAAGCTGGAAACACCAAATTGACAGGATGTATGGAGCTGTACGTGAACTCACTTAGGACAAAGTTCGTGGTTACTAGGTCATGACCCTCGGGACAAATAACGTCAGACAATGTAAAATCCCAGGCTGGTCTCCAAAGTGCCCGCAGGACCCTAGATAACTGTTTCTAAGCAAAAGGTCACATGCTCATCTAAGGTCAGTGACATTGTTGACATTTTGAAGGTCATGGTGACCAAGATAATAGAAGACTGCTCTGAATTTTGCAGTTAAATAAACGACAAAGATTACGCTAGGCCGCCGTGGTTTCTAAAACACAATGCTGACCGGGTCATTTTAGGTCATGACATATTCTGACCTCGAAGAAGTCCATGGAATGTGTTATGCAGCTAATTACTACTATCAATTAGTTCGAAATGAGCACCAGAACATCCACACAGCAAGCCTAGAGTAATACAAACAGGTTGGCTATGACCCTAGTCTGGTCTGCATACATTACATTAGGTCAACGTTATTTGCTCATCCAACATTTGTGTTGCTAAGAAGGCATCTCCAGAGATGTATGGCTTCGTCTAACACTCCGTTGTTGCATCAATTGAAGGATTCCCTAGAAAGAACTTCGATGAGACTTATAGGCTGACTCTGACCTGTCACAGGTCACGACATTACTAGGTACATCTAAGTTTTGATGTCAATCGATCCGCTATTCAATTGTCTACGCTACGCAGAATTTGGGGCGGCTATGCCGCACCGTTCGGAAACCATTTGGACAATCTGTAGGGGAGGGGGTCAATTTGACCAGGCCCCGCCCGACCGCGTGTTAAATGTGGCACGCGAGTGTAAATGTATCAAGTCAATCTATGTTGGCGGACGTGGAAATGTGATAAAACAATGGTTTATCTTGGTTTCGTTCAAAGATAAGCTATTTGCTCGAGAAGAAATAACAGCCGCATTATGACACAGCATCTCACTGTCGTAGTGGACGCCGCAAGTGCCCACAGATGGCGTTGCTCCGACGCTACTCCAAAAGACTGCGAGAGGGCAACGATTTTGAG